ATCAAACGTGCGTTAAATTCGTTTTATTGATCCGGGGCCAACGACAACTTTATTTCGCTTATTGCAGCAGCAGCGCCAATGCTGTTTCTTTGATTTGCCAGCGAAGCCCTACGCTACTGGTATTTTGCGACGCCACCGCAGCGCCTCCGTTATTTGCGGTCGTAGCATTACTGTTCGTTTTTTCACATTCAACGCATTTGGGATTGTTAACATTTTTTTGCTGCCAATCTTTGTTATGTGTGCAACGTTTGCGATATCTCTAAAATTCGACTGCCACATACTTTCCTCCACTTGTGCTATATAAATTTGTTTGCCGTCTTCACCTCCACGCATGGAACGGACACCGCCACGTAGAAGCGCCCGCCTCATGAATAACACCAGCATTAACAGCAACGCATTATTATCGCCAATATTGGAAGCGTCCTTTAACACCGCAGTAAGTAATAGTTCTAACGTGCCCACCAGTGTCTCTAGTACAGCCGCCACAACCGACCAAATGCCTATCGACGATGGAGCCCCAGCCGCCCCAGCCGTTCACACGGTCGCAGGCACCGACTCCGTGCCGGTGTCACGCCAAATCCCCGAAAATAGCTCTGCTAGTCATAACTTCGACGACATCGAGAGACGCATAGCCATGCTGGAGCTCCACTTGAGGGACACCCAGGTACAGTTGCGGGAGCGTGAAGTCCAAAATGAAGTTCTTCGAGCAGCGTTATTGAGCAACGGTAGTTCTGCCGTTACTTACGCCAGCAGCGTAGTCGCGCAGTCGCAGCCAGCACCTCCGCCGCAGCCAGCACCGCCAGCGCCGCCGCGGTCAACGCAAACGCAATTCGAAGCACCGCTAACAAACGCACTGCCAACTAACGTACAGTCGGGTACCTCTACGCCCTTTATTGAAGCCCCATTTATGCCGCCGCCTACTTCGGTGAATTCGTACAGTTTTATACCACGGCCCGTTATTTGTAGCGCAATGTCTGATAATTTGCGCAACGCTTCAGCGCTCCCCGCGAACGATGTATTTTCATCGCAGTCATCGAGCGCTCCGATACCGACAACTCAGGCCAACGGGGCTCGCGCAAACTTACAGTACTCACCAAATAATTTTAACTTCCCTAAGAAATTGCTAGACTTGCCTGATTTTAGTGGTAGACCGGAAGACTGGCCCGTGTTTTATGCTGCGTTTATGGAGTCGACGGCGGCTTATGGGTATAGTAATTTTGATAACAACCAGCGTCTTCAAAGGTGTTTGAAAGGCGATGCGCGTGAGACGGTGAAATCGTTGCTGATCCACCCTAACAATGTTGGATGCATTATTGAACAGTTGAAGTTCAGGTTTGGGCGGCCAGAGCAACTGGTTCGTAGTCAGTTAGCGCAGGTTAAGGAAATAGCGCCAATTTCCGAGAATTTTTTGAGTAAGCTAATACCGTTTGCGACCAAAGTGAAAAACGTTTGTGCTTTCTTGCAGTCAGCTGGCGCCGAACATCATATCTCCAATCCGATGTTGCTTGATGAACTTATCGCGAAGTTACCCATGAGCAAACGCATTGAGTGGGGCAGGTACGCCACCGCCCTACAGATGCGAGCTACCGCACTACATTTTAGTGATTGGCTTACATCACTTGCCAACGTTATATGCACGGTTAACGATGAATGTCAACATCCTGCTCGTGAGCCCAAACGCCGCATGGTACTCCACTTGGACGAGACGATGTCGAGAAAATGCCCGTTATGCCAGGGCCAGCACAAGCCAGCTGACTGCAAGCGCCTAATTGAAGCAACGGTGAGCGATCGATGGACCGAAGTTAAATCCCGGCGATTATGTTTCGCCTGCCTAAATGCGGGTCACACTACAAGCAGTTGCAGAAGACGTAAGCTTTGTGGTATCGATGGGTGCAATCGGGCACATCATAGATTGCTCCATGAGTTCCGGTCAGAGCGCCCGTCAGCTCCACCCACGTCATCGTCACGAAGCGTCGCCCGCTCTGCGTCATCACGGTTTACGTCGCCACCAAACAATCCTCATCAGCAACCGTCTCGCGATAAAGGCGCAACAGTACTAAGTTGTGCTACCAACTCCCCAGAGAGAAAGCTGCTCTATCGTATCCTCCCGGTCACATTGTACGGAAAGCAACGCCGCGTCGACACCTACGCTTTACTCGATGAGGGCTCATCTATAACGATGCTCGATAGTAGCCTTGCAAAGGAGTTGGACTTGCAAGGACGGCCACACAGCCTGCACGTACAATGGTTCGGGGGACATGCGGTACAAGAGCCTGCCACTTTAGTTGACCTACATATAAGCGGTGCCGGTATGAAAAAAAAGGCACAGCCTGCAACGAGTTCACGCCGTACGTAATCTTCAGCTGCCAACACAAAGCCTTAGTCGCAGCGATTTAATACTGGACGACAAAGAAGCACGCCACTTGCCAATGCAACCCCACTCTGGTGCGACCCCACGACTCCTCATCGGCATAGACAATTGCCATTTGGGTTTATCATCGACCACCATTACGATGAGGAAAAAACGGGCCATTTGCAGCCAAAACGGAGCTCGGCTGGGTGGTGTTCGGTCCAGTTAGTAAATGCTCGCCCTCGCCAATAACGTGTCTATTCGTGAACTCCAGTCGGGATGAAGCGCTTCACGACATGGTCGCCGATTTTTTTGAGACTGAGAGCTTTGGTGTGAGACCATCGCCACCTATCGAAAGCGAGGCCGACATCCGTGCACGAGCCATGTTGGAGTCGACAACCTGTCGCGTTGGACCACGTTTCCAGACAGGACTGCTATGGAAGCACGACGACGTTCAATTGCCAGATAGCTACGGAATGGCGCTCAATAGGCTAAGGATCGTTGAAAGAAAAATGAGTCGTGATGTTGGATTTGCTGTCGCCTATAAGCAAATCATTGACAGCTACCTTGAGAAGGGCTACGCACGCAGACTCGCAACGTCTGAATACGCTTCGTCGACGCCACGTACCTGGTACTTGCCGCATTTCGCGGTAGTGAATCCGAACAAGCCGTTCAAACTGCGAATCGTGTTTGACGCTGCCGCCGAGGTCAATGGCATCTCCTTAAACAGTCGCCTGCTTAAGGGGCCACAAGAATACAAACCGCTGCCGTCTATTCTTTTCCGGTTCCGTGAACGGGCAGTTGGCTTGTGTGGCGACATCAGGGAAATGTTCCACCAAGTGCTTATACGCCCAGAGGATAGACGCGCCCAGCGATTTTTATGGCGTGACGGTGACTCTGGCCGAACTCCCGATGTGTACGAGATGCGCGTGATGACATTTGGAGCCGCTTGCTCCCCTTGTGCGGCCCACTACGTTAAAACACGAAACGCGTTAGAACACAACAGCGACAGCCGCTATACAGCCCGCGCTATTACTGCTATTTTGGAAAATCATTATGTGGACGACTTCGTAGATAGCTTCAACTCGCCAAGGGAAGCCATCGACATCGGGGCACAGGTAAGAGCGATTCACATGGGCGCCGGCTTCGAGCTTCGCAATTTTACATCGAACTCGACGGAGGTGATTGCTGCGTTGGATGGCGTTGACGTCGATAAGGTTATTGGAATAAAGAATGGTCTGGGCACTGAGCGGGTACTGGGTTTGCATTGGCACTCCACGACTGACAACTTCAAATTTGGACTCAAATTCAATAACGTGAGTGAAGCGGTGATGAGCGGTACTAGATGTCCTACGAAGAGGGAGCTCCTCAGTGTGGTCATGTCCATATTTGATCCGCTGGGGTTCCTGGGTAACTTTGTTGTCGGGGCGAAGCTGTTAATGCGAGAGGTGTGGAGGCATGAAACACGCTGGGATGAACCACTTCCAGTAAACATTGCTGCGTCATGGGAAAAGTGGCGGAGGCAACTGCCATCGGTAGTCAGGTATACCTGTCCTCGATTCTACTTCCGCAACGGTGCGCCGGAAACACTACAGTTACACACATTTGTCGACGCCAGCGAGAATGCCTTTGCTGCCGTCACGTATTGGAGAGCCAAGAACGCTCGTGGTGAGGTAGAGGTTGCCTTTATTTGCGCGAAATCTAAGTGCGCTCCATTGAAGCCGCTTACCGTACCGCGCTTAGAGCTGCAAGCTGCCGTATTAGGAACGCGCCTACAGCAAGCCGTATGCGAAGCACACTCCTTTAAACCAAACAAACGTTTCCTTTGGTGTGATTCTACGACGGTCATCAAATGGGTTCGAAGCAAGCACCGTAAATATAAGCCGTTTGTTCAGCACAGAATTGCTGAAGTTTTAGCCACCACGCAAGTGTCCGAGTGGCGATGGATACCCACGGCAGAAAATGTGGCCGACGAAGCCACGCGCGCGAACCACGCAATCGTGTTTGGACCTACTGTGCGCTGGGTACTAGGCCCGTCGTTTCTACGAGAAGAGGAGCATGCCTGGCCCTCCGAAGATGCAGTTTTCCTAGACTCAGATGAGTACGATGAAGAACTACGACCACAACACGCATTAACCATCGTAAGTCAAAATTTCATAAACTTTAATCGCTTCTCTTCATACAACAGGTTGTTGAGGACCACAGCCTGGGTTATACTGTTCGTCAAAACCTGTCGCCGAATTCAAATTAAGAGTCCCTACGGTCTTAGTGCTGGCGATCTTGAAGCGGCGAAACTGCTCCTTTGCCGACTGGTTCAGGGCGAATCCTTCTCCGAAGAAATTCAGCAGATACGCGATGGACAAGACATAACGAGACAGAGCTCGTTGCTACAACTGCTGCCATACCTAGACGAGGATGGTGTACTACGTGCTCGCGGGCGCATTGATGCCGCCAGCTGGCTTCCGATCTACACGAGGCGCCCCATAATATTGCCACCCACTCACGCATATACGAAGCTAGTTACAGCACATCATCACGTTCTCATGGGTCATCAAAATTCTGAAGCTACAATATGCGCCATCCGCCGCGTCTACTGGGTACCTCGGTTAAGGACGCTTCTACGAAACGTCAGCGCCAGCTGTAATGTGTGCCGCCTCCGTAAGGCGACACCGGTTCCGCCACTAATGGGGCCGCTTCCCATCAATAGGCTCACGCCCCACGTTAGGGCGTTTACATACACTGGCATGGACTATTTTGGACCCCTCAACGTAACAGTACGGCGCAGCACCGAAAAGCGGTGGGTGGCACTTTTCACCTGCCTTACCACACGAGCAGTGCACCTGGAAATGGCACACGACTTGAGCACTGACTCCTGCATCATCGTCCTTCGCAATTTTGTTAACCGCAGAGGAGTGCCTGTGAGGTTAAGATCCGATAACGGAAAGAACTTCGTTGGCGCCAATAATGAAGCCAAACGATTCTCTGAAGTTTTCGACTGCGAGCGTGTGCAGGGTGAATTGTCGCAACGAGGCATCGATTGGGTATTTAACTCGCCGTTTAACCCAGCTGAAGGAGGCACCTGGGAGAGGATGGTGCAGTGCGTCAAGCGAGTGTTGCGCCAAACGCTAAAGGAAGTGGCCCCACGTGAGCACACACTCAATTGCTTTCTGCTCGAGGCGGAAAACGTCGTCAACTCCCGGCCTCTCACGCACCTGCCCATCTCTCCCAACCAAGAACAGCCGTTAACGCCGAACGATTTCCTGCTGGGGTCATCCAATACTGCGCATACGCCCAGTGTGACCGAAATACCAACCACTCCCCGTGCTATGCGTCAGCAGTGGCGAATTGCTCGCCAACTCAGAGACCATTTCTGGAAGAGATGGGTGCTGGAGTATCTCCCGACGCTAACACGTCGTGAGAAGTGGTGTCAACCAACAAAACCGTTGAAGGGAGGGGACTTAGTATTCCTGTGCGACCCTAACGTTCCAAGAAGGCAATGGTGCCGAGGCGTGGTGGAGCAGTTGTATCCTGGCAAAGATGGTGAGATACGGCAAGTTGATGTGCGCACGAACTCCGGGGTGAAGCGAAGAGCCGTTGCAAAGTTAGCCGTTCTGGATATTGAAGCTGGTGAATCGGGAGATTCACGGGGGCGGGGATGTCCCAGAACGCCACCTATTGAATGAATACCTTTACATTTGAAGTT